CCCATTATGGTAGTTTCCATTCTTTTTTCCATTATCTCTATATTACCCCAATAGAGTAAGTCTTACTGTGGAGGAGAGGAGCGGCCGCGGTTTGCTCAGTGCCCTCGCGGCTTTCTTTGACCGCTTCTCCACGCCCGGCGCCAGCTCAGGGACCCTGTCCTTCTGCATGGGACCTGTTGCTGGGATGCATAATGTAAACTCCTTACTGATAGTACTTTATAGTATATTATAGGGTAATGTAGACCCCTTATTAATCCACCCCCCTCCCCTTAATAGGGATTATAATAGGGATCCTAATGTTAAGGCCCCCCGTTGCTGGGATGCATAGCCAGATTGTTTGTGCCGCATCATCATAGAGAAGCATATCTTCTAGCTACGGAAGGAAACCTATGGCACCCCAATGGTGCTTTCAGATTTGCTTGGCTATAGAGCCGCCGAAGCTAAGGATGGCATGAGCACTGTGTTTGAGCCCCAGCCCGCTTATGAGGACGGGTTGGGCAGAAGGCGCCAATGGTGCTTGTCGCGCACGAGTTAATTTCTGCAGGACACATATCAGTATGCATCCGACGATGCTTACGGAAGCTTGGCTGGCTGGCCTTGCAGTAATGTCATTCATTTCCTGGGGTTGCAAGCAAACACTCTTCTGATCCAGCACCCAGAGCTTGTGTTTTGAGGCGGGCTTTCCGTCCTTGACCCAACGACGACATGCGAAACATCCGTTGCATTTGGGGTGGTGCCAACCGAGCTGGCTCGGACCCCAAGGGTTGCTGAAGGATCGTGCATGGCTGCATGCTTCGTCATCTGCTGGCCAGCTGGAAAACCTTGTAGAGAACCAAGGCGCCGCAGCTGCCAGCAGCAACGCGTCCTGAGCTCAGATTTCGAGACCTCGGCTAGCCTCGTTCACCTTGGCTCATAGCGCCAGGCCTTCTTCATGCTTACGAGCTCCAGCGGGCTCAGCGTTTGTCAGCGACGGCTCTTGCCACCTGGCTGTTTCAGATTTGGCAGATATGGACAAGGTAAGGAAGCCAGACAGTCTTGTGACCGAGGCCTCTTGCTGCGAAGAGACTACCCACGAGCTTGGAGCTGAAGCTTTGGAGGCGAAAGCTGACATTGGAGGATTCTGCAAGACATATAGCTTGAGCTGTCCAGGAGCTCTTCATGGAGACTTCCACGCCATGCAATACGATGCCGGCAGCCGCTCCTTCGCAGCCGGTTTCCGCAGCTCCTCTGCAGTTCATGAGCTCTGTCCTGAGAAGCTGGCAACTTCTATGGTTTGTTATGCTTTGCCAACTTAGAAATGTCTACACATGCGAATCACCCAGTAATGCAGCACTTCGTGGTAGGAAATTCGATCGTTTGAGGGCTGGGTGGTTGTTGAACAACAGCTGCTGGCCTTTGGAGCATTTTCGCATATCACAATTTTGTCGAGACAGCACCATGTCACCTTGGATCTTCATGCTTTACTTCAAGACCTTAGCATGTCTTTCGGGGCGATCTTGGAAGAGCCGATTTTGGCTGCAATGACGCTACGGCAGGTCATTGTTCTCCGAGAAGGTGAGCTAGCAATTGGTATCCTCCAGAAGGCAGCGCGGGGGCCACTAGACACTAGGGCGCAGTCGGCGCAGTGGAACTTTGGCTTCCGGCATGGTCTCGCTCCTTCAGAATTCGAGAAGGCTAGGGGTTTTGGATTGTTTCACTCGGACGGACAGCTTCCATCCACGTCATTGTTCTGGAGCGGGGATCTAGTCTTGTCATAGGCTTCACGCAAAAACTGATTTATTTTTCCGGGGCTGCTTTGCGAATGGCATACAAAGATTATGATACAGGGTCCCTTTACACGGTATATGGGGTTATATGGCGGTTATCCAAGGTTTAGGGTTTCAGGTAACATTTTCTGAGGGATGGGATGGGCGCGTGGCAAAGTTTTATTCCCACATGACCCGAATGAGGGGCAGGTGGGGTTAGTTGCAGCAGTCTCAGCTGCTTCGCCTCCTGGGATTTGCTTTGAGTTCCAGGTTCAAAAAGGAATATTATGGTTCCCCTTAAGTAGATAGAATATGGGGTATACGGGGATCTCATTATAGTATACCCAAAGGCATATTCTATCTACTTAGGGGGACTATAAACCCTAGACCCTAAAACCTAAATAGCACTTTGTTTTCCATTTTCCATTATCCCTGTGATATAACCCCTATATTCTATTTTCTGATGTCAGGTTGTCCCAAAGCCGGGATGGACGGCCCCGTTCCTCCATCGGCGGGACAGCCTCAGCTCATTTGCCCTGCAGCTCTGCGAGGCTGACAGCATTCTGCTTGCCTACTCTGTTGCTAATTGCCCATTATACAACAATCCAGTATAATGTACTATATTATACTATGATGTACTACGTTCTATTGTTTTGTATTATGTCATACTACATTGCTCCATGCTTATGATTTCTGGAGCCATGTCTGGAGTTCGGGGCGCTCGGCATGATCGCATGTATTGCTTGAGCCCTTCAGTAGCAGGTGTGCCAGCCAATCCCACGTGCATAGACTGTCTGTTGGTAAGAAGCTGATGCAGCTGTTGTGTCCTGAACGTGTGCGCGGCTGAAGTGGAGGTTTGCTTTGTTACATAAGGCTTCATGTTCTGGTGATGTGTGCACAACAAGAGGTGTAGGTGCAATTCAATAGCCGAAGACTTGCTGCCTCCCACCCACAAGGTTCGAGAAACGGATGGCCTTCTCACACCCTGGGAAACGACCGTCAGAGAGCACTGGCCACTGGGACTACTGCAGCTTTATTGATAGGTAATTGGGCAGCCTGCCATCATGAACGCCGACGATCTGATGCCCAGGTACTATGCCTGCGACTTTGTTTGCCTGGCCGCCCTTCAACCTGTGTTTACTCGAGGCCACAGGGCTTTTGGGAAGGCTGATTGAGCCAGAGAAGCAGTAGCTGTTATGCTGCGCAGTGCATGCTGGCTGTTGGCTCCTACAAGCATGTCACTGTATTATACTATACTATACTGTACTATATTGAATTTATCATATTATACTGTTTTATACAGTATCATACTAAATTGTGTCTTATTATGTTATAATATACTAAATAATGTCATATAGTGTACTATATCATACTACAACATCCTGTTTGTGCTTCACAGGGCAATGCCGCGGTAAGCATCTACGCCGAGAGCGAAACCGATGGAAGGTGGATCCGGAAGGCAGGGGTTAGCCTTGGAGGTCAGAGGAATTTTAAGGGTTTAGGGTGTATTATTTGAATATACGATGTTATAGTATGGTCTAGTAAAGTAGAATATACGATCTTATACTGTAATACAGTATAATATAGCATAATATAGTATAAGGTAGTATAGTACAGTATAGTGTAATGTAGTATAATATAGTATAAGATAGTATAATGTAGTATGATGTAGTTCTAGGCGATAATGTCGCAACTGTTTACTTGAGATTTTGGCTATGGCAACCTTTCGGATTAGATCCATACATAGCGTTTCAGGACATATTATATCATACTATACTATACCATACTATATTATGCTACATTATATCATATTATATGACATTCTACTATATTATATTACATTATATCATACTATGCTTCATTATACTATACTATGCTATACTATACTGTATTACATTATATGATACTATACTATACTACATTATATTATACTACATTACATCATGCTATATTACCCTAAACCCTAAACCCTTGCGCCAGCCCTGGTGTGGAGGCCTGGAGAGGTGGCAGAAAATGCAGGCTTTACTTTCACAGGCTGCTCGTCCAAATCTCCTAGTGTTGCACTATAATGAAGTAAAATATAGCATAGTATAGCATAATACAATATGAGCTACACTCTAAACTCCTTAAAGGGGTTATATAGGGGATTATATAGGGGACTATTATAGGGGTTATTAAGGGGGATACTAGGAGTTTAGACTATAGCTCATATAGCATGATAGAGTACATTATGGAAGAATGGAGTATAATATAGTATAATGTAGTATGGAGTAACTTGCAGCAGGTGCCAGGCATGGAATAAGGGAATATCGTATATAGGAATTATACAGATGGAGATCATCTTCCCTTATTCCCTACTAAGTTCCCTTATTCCCTGCGAAGAACCGGTAAGCAAGTCTGGTTGAGGGTGCATCGGCAAGCTTAGAAAGTTCGCGGGTGGCAAACTTGCAGATGCAAGCAAACATGTCGCTGAAGCATGCTCTATACCATCACCTTGGCATTGATGATGCCAGTATCTAGCTTGCAGGTGGGTCTGCATCACTGATGATGAGACGCTCAATCCTTGCGCCAGAAAATTCCAAAAAAAAATCAAAAAAGAGACTGAGTCCAAAAAGCCAGGCAAGTGACTTGCCACACAAAAACAAAGAAAAAGAGAGCGAGAACGCCTGCCAAAAAAATCTTCCAAAATTAAAAACATGCAGAAGCGGCTGTTGCTAGCTAGGGGGGCATAGAGTCAATTCATTCCAGGCACTTCCTTCCTGGTGGCAAAGTCATTTTAAAGGTTGTGAATCTCAAGTCTATCATGCCATCCAGCCCCTCTAGCGATGACAGCAGCGGAGTGACAGGTGGCTTCAGGACCATGTGTGCAATAATGTGCGAATCTGATCAAGCTCATGATTCTTGTCTTCAAGAATCGTTTCTGGATGGACTGACGCCCCAGTCACCACTGCCAGATCCGGGATAGTTGGCCGTGCTGATGCCCTCAGACGTTGAGTACGCTGATTAGGATGGGATGAGTCAGGCATTTGGTGCAAGCTCTTCGTTGTTCTTTTCAAGCGCGGCATGGCCTCAGCCAACTGTCCCGACTGAGCAAGATGCCCTGCAGCACAGTGGGCTCTGCTTCTGTTTTGCGATGGCATGCAAGGGGAGTGCATCCTCGCCACTCCAATGAATTGAGATGCTACTGCCGGGGTTTCGGGCCCACAAATATGTTTGAGTGGCGTGGAGGCGCTTACCTTAGGGATGGTAGCCCGGCATCCCAGGAGATGGCATGTTCATGACCAACAGCAGACTCGAGTAGGTTCCAGGTATTCAGCCAAGCTCCTCCCTGGGATGCTCAATTGCACAGATGCTCACAAGGCGCCAGGGTAGGGTTTAGGGTTTAGGGTTTAGGGTTGGGGGAAGGGACGAAAGGTGTTTTAGGGGTATGGCTGCTGCGGCTGAAGGACATGAATGCAACTAAAAGTAGCTATGCCAATGCCACCTCTAGATGGTAAGCGCAGGGCTGACCAGCTGAAGCTTCCTATTACTATGATTGCTACTATTACTACTATTATTACAGGAATTACGATGATTAATATCACCTTGATTTTTTGTAATTACTATTACTAGTCTTATTACAATTACGAGCATGAGCGATGATAAGCTAGTACAGAAAGGCCTCAATTATTGTAATTATTCTTATGATCCATAGTCTAAGCTCCTAGCATCCCCCTTAGTAGTCCCCCATATTAACCCCCCCCCTCTTTAAGGAGTTTAGACCTGAAACCTAAGCTCTGAACCATTACGCGATGCTGGCAGGTGCTTCAGAGAGCTCCTTTGCCCAATCGGCGGGGTGCCGGTGGGCACGTGAGCATGCAGAGTTTACTATTTACTGGGGGTTAGGGAATAAGGGCATCTATTGGGGTTATATAAGGGTCATGGAAAAGAGAATGCACACTACTACATTACGATAGGCTGTATATTGGGGGCTAGTAGGGAATAAAGGCATTCAGTATACAGGGATTATACAGGGAAGAGATTCCCTACTACCCACCTACCAGCCAGACCAGTACATGGTTGCTCAAAGCCTCATCAAGTCACGCTCGGAGCTTGCCTGGCTTTATGATTTATCCGCGGTTTACAGTGAGATGGTCAGCACTGGAGTTGTCAAGGATATAAATCTGGATAGTATAATCTTGGCATGACCAGAGGAGCTGTTAGGATGGAGGAGCTTTCTTGTGGAGCTTTGCGCTATGGCCTGCCTGGTCACTGGACTGGGCAGCTATCTGTGAGTGAGCTAGAACATGTTCAGCAGCAGTGAATATTGGGAATCCTTGCGCATTGGATTGGCATTCGTTGCTCACTCAATGTAGGGATCACAGAGCACCAGATGTGAGATCTGTTTGTTCATTGCGGGGGCTCCTGCGTTTGGGCCTGGCTTCTCTGAGGATTGTTAAGCTCTATGAACGATAGTGGTGCCAAGAGTTAGACTGAGTTCTATGAATTCTTATCATTGCAAGGTGCCCAGACTGGCAGGACTCGATTTTGCTTGAATACCGCGCTCTGCAATCTCTGGCGAACCAGAGCAAGGTGCTACTAGGTGGTTGCCCTAAGGC